TATATATATAAAAGGTGCTGTTTTTGTATGACATCCCAGTGACAACGATGCCTGCAGCGCCAGCACAACGTTATAACGTCACACATGCTGTTGAGTTTAGATTTGTGAAAATTTTCAAATTTGCACCGTTCAAGTGTTGTCATTGTGTTAGAGAGAGTAAATGTCATGAATAAATTTGACTTTAAACATAATCCAAGTTGAAATGTTACATCATTTTCAGCCCCTTTTTGGCATCTGCATTTAGTAGCAGGCCAAACTGACACAGACCATGCTGAGTAATGTACTTTGTAGAATTTTAATTCCACAGCAGAGAAAGCTATGTATTCTCTATAAGTAGGTCTAGGGAAAAATATTGGTATTGTATCGGTTATCAGTCAAATAAGCTTTAAAGTATCGGCATATCGGATATCAGCCAAAAATCCAATATTGTGCATCCCTAATACATTTTCTGCTTTAGTTTAAATTGATTGCTCGTTGACTTGTTGCTGAAGTTATCCCGGAGCAGTAAAGATGTCTAAATTAATGCAGAAAAATCTGCATTGTGTACTCGGGTTGGAAAACACTGACTTAACCAAACAGAACACAGAACATAGTATTTAAATATTACCCTTTATCTACAGGGTCCAATAGGAATCCCAGGTATGCCAGGATTTCCCGGTAATCCAGGAAATAAGGTGAGACTTTTCCTTAGATATTTACTGAACTTAATGAAAAATCTACTTTTTTTTTTTTTTCAAAATGGGACATAATAATATTTAAAATAAATTATACCACTGACTTAACTTGTAGGATACTTTCTGGATATAAATTAAAGCTTTTGGGAATACCAGACAATCATATCCATCAGACAATAAAAAAAGCTTTACTTCAAGGGATGCGTATCGCCCCCCACCTTATGTGTAAATTAATTTAATGGTCTATGAAATAGTCCTTTCATTCAACCTTTATTTATACTGGTTAGTCTCAATAAGTCACAAGGACTCATTTTCAAGAGACCTATTTAAAAAAAAAAATCACAGATGTGGTACACACAACAATAAGCAGTCATAAAAAGCATCTACAATGAAAAAATAAATTTAAAACGAAATAAAAACAAGCTACATTATGAAATGGGGTAAAGTACTAAAAACAGGAACATGTCTACATTGGTTTTTGCTATGAACTTAGCAGTTGTTTAAAATCCCTTAGAGAGGTCAAAGTGGACAGCTTGGCAAGGTGTTCCAGGAAACGGGAGCGGAGTAAGAGAAGGCCCTTTTGCCAAGTTAGGTTCGCAATGAATGCTGCAGGTAATGATGTCTCAAGAGCGCACGCTGTAGCTGCACTGACGACGTGACATGTAGGAGGAGCTGTATGAAGGCAACAGACCAAGGAGTGATTTAAAGATGAAAATGTACCAGTGGGAGAGTCTACATGAAGTTAATGATGACCAGTTAACCAGTGAATACAGGGTGCAGTGATGGGTACGGTAGTTACAGCCAGTTATTTATCTTAATGCACTGTGATAGACAGCGTCCAACATCTGCAGGGTGCTTACTTGAGCGGTCATGTAAATAATGTCACCGTAGTCAATGCAGAGAAGGAAAGTAGCAGCTACAAGGCATCTTCTAGCATTCTGAGTTAAACAAGATCTACTGTATTTCTGAAAAAGAAACCCAACTTTAATTTCAATTTCTTTATTAAGTTTTTGACATGAGGCTTAAAAGACAGATGTGCATCGACCAAGATTCCCAAGTATTTGTAAGAGTTGAAAAACTCAATAGGAACACCATTCATAGATAAAATAGAAGGAAGGACTGCTGGGACCGACCCTGTTTGAAAACAACATCCCTTTGGTTTTATCAGCATTTAGCACCAGTTTGAGATGGAACAAATCTGACTGGATGATGTTGAATGCAGACTGTAAAAGCTGGAAAACCTTAGCAACTGTTCTAGCTCAACAATTACTGTATTGTTGGCATAGAAATGCAAGGATGTGTCAGGAATGATCTGACCTACATTATTTATGTAGATTGTAAAGAGGGTGGGTCCTAAGACTGAGCCTTGTGGTATACCGTTGTTGATTGTTAAATGACTGCAAGAAGTACCATTATGTTGAACACATTGCCTCCAATCAGAGATAATTAGAAAACCAACCAATAGTGTGATCTGAGAAACCAATGTTTTGGCAACACGCAGACAAATGACACAAGCAGTTACATTATCACTAACAACAAATACTGATAAACCTAATCCAAGTGTGGCGCAGTCAGCAAACTAAAACTGGGTGCAAAACAACAAGAGGAATCCGAAACTGAAGGTGAAAAGCAATTTCTGCAAAGCAGAGAAAGACAATTAAAAACTCCTATATCACTCATAATGAGCTAAAGCTAAATGTGAAGTAGGATTTTGATCAGAGTTTGAGTTGTATTTTATCACCAGGTATTAATAAAAACTCCAATGTGTCACAACTACATGTCAGGAAACTACTTTGTTGTTTGATAAAATTAACATTTTATAAACATTTTTATTGAACTTCGGCGGCTGTCACTAGATATTTTACATGGGGAAAAAATACAATAAATAAAAATAATACTCCAAAGCTAGTCTACTAAAGATCAAAACAACCTTGGGTCAATTTGTACTCCTGTCAGATTGTATCCTCACAGCTTTGGTCTTTTCGTACCCATATTTTAGGGTACAAATTTGTCATCCATCCTACTGCATGTAATCATATAATCTGTAACACTTTACAATAAAGTACACAACATTTGATTAACTACTAGGGAACGCCTCAGGACCAAATCAAGAGCTAATGGGTAGTTTACCAGTACTTACTGGGGAACACACAGCCAAGCCTTATTAGGGGACTACTGGTTAATTACCTTGTACATGAAGACGAACTAATCAAGAACTAATGGATAGTTAACCAGTACTTACTGGGGAACACACAGCCAAGCCTTATTAGGGGACTACTTGTTAATTACCTTGTACATGAAGATGAACTAATCAAGAACTAAT